TTTTCCTCCCAAGGTGGAGAACCTTGCATTTTTCGGTGTTAAACACCATCAGGTTCTCCTCCGCCCATTTCCTGTGCTTGTCAAGGTCAGCCTGGATCACCCTCCTGTCCTTAGGTGTGGACGCTTTACCCCAGAGTTTGGTATCATCGGCAAACTTGGCCAGTCTGCTTCTGACTCCAATGTTCACATCATTAATGAAGATGTTGAACAAGATAGGTCCAAGGACAGAGCCTTGGGTGACCCCACTGGTCACAGGGCACCATGACGATTGACTTCCATCAACCACCACCCTCTGGGTCTGACCACGGAGCCAATTCCCCAGCCAGCAGATCAAGGTGGACCCAAGGCCGCAGTTGGCCAGTTTGGCCAAGAGGTGATCATGGGATACCAGATTAAAGGCTTTACTGAAGATATATGACATCAATCTCCTCTCCCTTGTCCAGGTGATAGGTCACCTGGTCGTAAAAGGAAATGAGATTGGTCAAGCAACACCTACCCACAACAAACCCGTGTTGGCTATCCCTCAGGATGTTGCTGTTGGCCAGTCTGTTAAGAATGGCCTCTTTAATAATCTTTTCTAAGACCTTCCCGGGGATAGAGGTCAGGCTGATGGGCCTGTAGTTTGCCGGATCCACTTTCCTCCCTTTCTTGAAGATAGGCACCATGCTGGCCTTCTTCCAGTCTTCAGACACTTCACCAGAGTGCCAGGAGTTCTCAAAGATCCATGCCAGGGGCTAGGCTATGATGCTAGCCAGCTCCTTGAGTACCCTGGGGTGTAGATTGTCAGGGCCGGCTGACTTGAAGATGTCCAGCCTCTCAAGGTGTTCCTTCACGAGGTCAACATTGATGAAGGGCAGGGAATCTCCCTCACCCAGGCCTCCCTGTCCTGTAATGAGCAGGGATGTCCTGTGGGACTGGTGAAAGACCAACGGAAAGTACCCATTTAATAGGTAGGCTTTTTCCTGGGCGTCGGTCGTCAGATCTCCCTTCTGGTTTAGCAGGGGTCCGATGTTGCCCTTGCTTTTTCTCTGGCTCCCCACATACCTAAAAAAGGACTTTTTATTGTCCTTGATACTTGTAGCTAGTTGGAGTTCAGTTGCAGCCTTGGCTTTCCTGATTTGCTCCCTGCAGGACCGGACCAGTGTGGAATATTCATCCTTAGAGATGGATCCCGTCCTCCATCCTTTGTAGGCCTTTCTTTTTAGCCGCAGGAGGTCTGCTAGATCCCTGGAGAGCCAAGGGGCCTGCTGTGCCCTTTTGCTGCCTTTCCTCCAAGATGGAATAGACTTTGCTTGTGCATCGAGGATCACTCCCTTGAGGAGCAACCACTCTTCCTGAACTCCCCTCCCCTTGGGGTCGTGGTCCCTTAGGGCCGCACCGACAAGCCTCCTCAGCTTGTCGAAGTCGGCTTTCCTGAAGTCAAGGACTTCCGTATTGCTGACTGACTTGCCAGCTTTACAGCGGATGGTGAAGGTAATCAGCTCATGGTTGCTGTCACCCAGCTTCCCATCGATCATTAGGTCGCTGATTAGGTCGTCCCTAGTTGCCAGTACCAGGTTGAGCAGCGCTTTACCTCTCGTTGGCCTGTGGACCTCGTGTCAAATAAAGGTCATCCATGCACGAGAGAGAGCTTTGCGACCGCTCCGATTTAGCCGAGCGCTTTTGCCACGAGATGTCTGGGTAGTTGAAGTCTCCCATGATAACTACGGACCTGGAGCATGCGGCCTCAGCCAATTCCCTGGCAAACTCCTGGTCAAGCTCTTGACTTTGGGTGGGAGGTCTGTAGTAGACTCCCACCATCATGTCTCCTGTGCCGTGTTCCCCACAAACTTTAACCCAGAGGGTCTCCAGCCGTCAATGATCTAATAGGTCCCTTCTGACCCTAACATCTATGAAACTATGAAACCTTTCAAATATTTGAAAATTCTTGTCAGGTCCTCCCTCAATCTCTTTTTCTCCAAGTTAAAACACATCTAGTTCCTTCACCTTTCATCAGAAGACTGCTGAGTACCGGGTGGTTTTCTTTGCACTTTAAACAACAAGAAAACTCTTTAAATGAGGAAAGCTAATAGTGGGTATTTGTAGTGAAAGTTTCAGGTATCAAAGCACCTTACTAGGGGCTGGAGCACAAAGTAAGGAGGACTCTCAGTTTCTATTCTTGGCTCTGGCTCTGCCACTGTGTGATCTTGTTCAAGACATTCATACCAAAGTTTCAGTTTGGATGCCTAAAGCCAGACACCCAACCCAGGGTTCAGATAACTAAACAAGTGGCTTGACTATCAGAAGGTATACAAATTAAGTTGACTTTTATCACCCCTCTCAGCATGATATCCAAGAGTATCTCAAATATCTGGAAGTAACCCAACTGGAAGCATATGTGGAAGTAAGTTCCCTTCATCATCTGAAGCTGCCATGGTTTGTTTAGTTCAAAGTTAAATTTAATTTATTGTATTGTTCTGATTTAAGTCTACCTTTTTTTCTCTTCCAAGAGAGCCTTAAAACTTCCATGACTTATACGTGGGCACCCAATTATAGTTCAACGATATAGATTTTTGGGGCTGATACTGATAGCTGATTTTTAAGGAGGCATATCAGCCAATACCAATCCAATTTCTGATACCAGCCCCGCAGCTTGAAGAGCAGTGTCCAAGTGGTAAGTCTGTTGTGGTGGAAGGGAAAGGGGGAGGGAAGGAGCATGGGGGGCAGATCAAGGCCGCTGTGGTGAGGAAGGAGTGGGGCTGAAGCTGGGGAAGGGGTAGGCGCTGCCCAGCTGGGGCAAGGCAGGCATGAGACAGAGCTGTGGCTTGTCTGGGGGGCACGGAAGGGGGAGCAGCTCTCGCCACTGCATGTCACTCGTCTGGGAGCCGCTTGTCTGGTAGTTCGTCTGGTGCTCACCTGTTTGTCCACCGACTCCCATCGCTGCTCCTGCCACTCGTCTGGGAGGGCATGGATGTGGGTGGGTACCCTGGATCTCTGTGGGGTGGGGTGGGGCAGGTGGTGCCAGGACTGCGCTGGGCTGCTCTTGGGGCAGGCAGCAGTGGCGCTGGGAGCAGGTCTATGCGGGGGGCTGCAGCCACCCCAAAATTCACCATAGCCCCCCCCAT